GAAAAGCAGACTGGAACTTATATAGTATATCGTTCTCAAGTATATAGTTGTGCAGATGCTTGACAATAATTTTTTCTAATAATTTGCAAACAACAGATGTTACTGATATTGGTCTATAGTTATTGACATCATCTGCATTTCCTTTATTTTTATAAACAGGAGTAACCTGGGCAATTTTCCAAATATTAGGAAGAGTTCCATTGTTTAGTGATATATTAAATAATTTTGTCAGTGGTTTGTAGATTGATTGTGCAGTAGATTTTAAAATTCGAGGTGAAACACCATCAGGACTTGATGGCTTACATGTATTGATGATTTGTAACTGGTCTAAGACTTCATTTTCTGTAATTCTAATTGTTTCCATATGATGTAAGGGGGGACCTGGTCCCTGGGGTGGTAAATCAGGCTCATCGTTAATGCAAGAGATATTTGTAAAGAATTTGTTTATAGCATTGGCCTTGTCTATGGGATGAAACATTGTTTGGCCATCGACCTTAAGAGGAGGTGTTGGCTTATGTTTATTGTTTAGTTTGGATAATGATTTCACTATTCTCCACCATTTACCAGGTGGTATTGTTTTATTTATCTGCTCTGTAAGTTTTTTGTTATAATTTTGCCGAGAAATTCTAATTTCATCAATGACCTGATTTCGAAGGTATCTATACTTTTCCCAGTGAAGTGGATTTTTTGATTTGACAGCTTTACGATGGATTCGATTTCGTTTCCTCATCAATTTTCTAATTGTACTATTCATAAATACTTTGTCCTTTGGTCGAATTGTAATTACTTTTTTAGGGATGTGTTTATCTATGCCTTTGGTTAATACTTCTGTAAAATTAGAGTACATTTCATCTACATCAGTAGTATTGAAAACTTCTGAATCCCAATTTATATTTTCTAAATCATTATTGAGGTTATTGTAATCAGCATTACTATAATCAAAAATTTCTCTCTTATATGCATATTGTTTATGTATATTGAATTTCAGGTCCAGTCCAACAAGGGAATGTGAACTACAAAATGGGGCTGAAACAAATGTACTATCAACCAAAGTTGGATTGCTAGTAATTATAAGATCTATACAAGTACCCTCAGTTTTTGTAAAATTGGTTGGACAATCGATTAAATTTGTTAAATTTAATTTTTGTAGCATTAGTTTGAAACTGCTACTTTGATTTGACAAAACATTAACATTAAAATCTCCTAGTAGGAATATCGGGAGATTACATTCAAGTGCCTTTTCCAAATTTGAGTTAAATAAGTCCCAATAGCTAGCTAGTGAAGATGGGGGCCTATAAAGTACAGCTAATAAAATTTTTTTGTTGCCATTATGTATTTCTGACCAAAGAATTTCTAATCCATCAATTAACAAATCCATTCGAAAATGGTAAGCTAATTGGTCCGAAATGTATATAGCAACACCGCCACCATGTCTATTTCTATCTTTTCGAATAGGTGGGTGAAATCCTTCTATTGAAATATTTTCATTACTTATGCTATTATCTAAATGCGTTTCACTAAGGGTAATAATATCATATGTTGATAATTCTGAAGTTATGATATCTAATTTTGGTAGTAGACTACAAACATTGTTATGGACAATACTTAAAGGTTTGCTACTATGGCTACTTTTAATAAAACTGGGGCCAGGATTGGTCTCTATGCACCCTAATATTAATAGTATATATATAATAATACGACGAAAATGTAGATTTAAACATACACAATAGTCTAACTGATAGTTTATCCATGACATCCTAAAAATAGTTATAATCACCTTAATCATTTGTATCAAAAATCATTATATTTGATTTGGATGGCATGGATTCACACATCGGATATGCTGTGTATAAAAGTAAAAATGAAACCGGTATGGTTGGAATAAGACAAAACGCATAAGAAATAAATACGAACTGAACAAAAAACATATATACAAAAAACACAAATTTGACTTGTAAACACAAGAGTATCAGTAAACTGAGTATGAGAACGTAAGAACACATTTACAAAAAGGTACAGTATGGGATTTGGTGTATTAAGCCATACAAAAATATAGTGTTTAGGTAAACATCTATTTATAGAAAAGTATTTACCCTAGTATGGGAAAAACCCTTACTAAAAATAATACATTTAAGATATTGCAGAATAGACTTCTGAAACTTATGAAAGATGGAGTCCAGTTATATCCAAGTGAGAAGAGAGGTATGTGTGACACAAAGTTGTCTTGTATTTATTTGAACACTGCCGCAGCTGGAGTAGAGGTTTGAGGGCCGCGCATAATGTTGCCCTCTAATTTTTCGATGTCCGAATATCGCGTGATCGTCCATCTTTTCTTGCCATGGGTTTTCGCAATGATTTTTCCATCGTACGTCCACACTGATTCGACAAGTTGGTCTTTGAGCAGTTTTTTTGTGCTTATTAAGAGGCCCATTCGTCGTTTTGTCAGGGCTTCATTTATGAAAATTTTGTGTTCATTCATTTCATTTTTGTTGTATTCTTTGAGATTACTCTTATTTGCGTAGACAAGTGCCTTGTCTCGATATGAAGTAAATTTCACTATAATATCTCTGGGGCGGTTCTCTTGCTGCTTGCCTACACGATGGGTTCGATCAATCTTATCAATGGGAATCGATAGGTTTTCTGGGGCAAGGATAAGCTTATTGATAACATTAAGTGCGAGCTCATCCGTATTTTCCTCATCATTTTCTTTGACACCCGTTATCTTTACACAGTTTCGACGAGAATATTGTTCTAAGTCGTCTACCTGCCACTCTAGTCTATCGACCTGTGTCTGTAGAGAGGAAACCTTTTCCAGTAGTGCATCAGAAATATGTGTTTTGAATACATCGTTATTTAAGATGACAGAGACAGCCCTTTTTGTAAAGTTTTCATCTTTAGAAAGAGTGTGGAGCAGTGAGTCTAACTTATGTAGATCTTGATCTAAGTTGGGCCCTGTAGAGTTAGCCATGGAGGTATCACTCTCACTGAGGTCGCACCTGAAACGTTTATTTCCACCTCCAAGTCCTCTGTTTGGGGTATTAATGTTACCAGCTTGATTCTTAGAATACTGTTTTTTATTAGTTTTAGGCATGTCCTATAAGGAATAACTGCAGTGAATACACAGCGAATACACAGCACACATACAGTGAATCAGTGAGTCCTGCTCACCGTAGTCACTCGCTCGATCTAACTTCTTAAGAATTGAAGGATGAAAGTGTTTTAGATCATATTACTCACTTTTACGGGTTTAATCACTACCTCCAATATACAGTGCATCCATTTCAACATAACCATCTACTTCATAACTCAATAACATACATTTTCACTCATTTTTTTTGATGGCTCGATTTAAACCCGTCCTACATGGCGCCTTGACCTTGACCTTTTGAATTATGTATTGTTTGTGGAAAATATTGTGACCGAATTAGATTAATTGCATCAAAAGCAGATGCAAAGAACTGCACTCGGTGATCTGATTTGTTTTCCCCAACAATTATTTAAATTGAATAAATTCTATGTCAGCGAGAGTTTTTATCAGCCAATGAGCGTGTCAGCAGCGGACTCGAAACATTACTGATCATCTGTCTGTATACAGTGCATATCCGATATCAGACAGGCAGGCCAGTTTATCAAAGTTTAGCCTGGTTCCCTATCCCTGTTTTGCTTCGTGTACTCCTGCTTTGGAAAGGATGAGCCGGGAGACCAGGCTAATCAAAGTTAACATGAATTGCCGCTAGATGGCGATCGCAAATTCCCTTCCGCCGCAGATGAGCGATACCAATAGAGCGGAGGCATAAAGCCTCCGTCTAAAAAGCTTACAAAGTGGTGATTTGAAGAGATTGTAGATAGATAATCTTGCTACACCAACTTGTTTGTTAACACATTACCTTGCTAAAGGAATAAACAAAGAAATATAAACTCCGTTTGCAGGTGACAGCGGTAAATTGTTGCATACGTAAAGTACATGTAAGTTGATCATTGAAAAGTTAAAGTCATCACGTTTATCGCATGCTTTTTTGTTAGATTACCATTTTACTAGTAAAAGATTTAGTTAAAACATGTTTCATACCCTGTTGTATCTTTTTTTTAATGCTGTAAATATATCGGACATATCAACGATTGGTCGACTTGTGAATATTTAACCTATTAAGGATACACAAACAAAACTTTGATGCATGGATTGATGTATATTTTTTGAACGGAAATAACATAAATGATTATAATCCATATAAAGAAATATTTAAGTATTTATTCTTTTCTGTTTAGATACGAGTATGCGTCATTTGTAGTTGTTTATGCAATTCAATACAAAATTTTGCACACATTTTCAACATTGAGTCAACATCGAGTCGCAATCGTACAGAATTCTGCCACTTTACCTTTCAAACTTGACTCACGTCACCTATCTGAAGACAGATCTATGAAAAATATTGCTGCTGAGTTTTGAAAAAAGAAACAAGAGGCCCATGGGCCACATCGCTCACCTGAGCACTAAGGGTAGGAAAAAATAGAAAATGGATTTTTATTGTAAAGTTTAAATCCAAAAGTAGTCCCATGACCAATCATGGATTTGCTATTTTTTAGAAAAATGATTTTTAAAGAATTTTCCTATATATATCTTTAAAAACTTTGGTCGGCCATTTTGGCCCCGCCCTACCCCTAGGGGTCATGATTTGAAAAAAAATGAATCTACACTACCTGAGCATGCTTGATGAATTATTTTTGAGAAGAAGATTTTTAAAGAATTTTCCTATATATTTCTATGTAAAACTTTGGTCGGCCATTTTGGCCCCGCCCTACCCCCGGGGGTCATGATTTGAACAAACTTGAATCTACACTACCTGAGCATGCTTCAATATAAATATGATGAATTAATATGGCTTTGTCATTCTTGAGAAGATTTTTAAAAAATTTTCCTATATATTTTTATGTAAAACTTTGGTCGGCCATTTTGGCCCCGCCCTACCCAGGTGAGCTGAAAAGTTGTATTATTTATCCAGGTCATCAGTGTTCCTAGGAATTAATGTGACTGCTCTGTTTCGCCCTATATTCCTGTCGGCCGATCATGTTCTTTCAACCGACAAGACCAGAAAATTTAGTCCCCCGACCATCGGCTAAAATGTGACCTATAAGCATAATTTAAATCATAAATACATGTATAAAGATCCCCCAACACACGGATGGCTCAGCTTTTATCAAGGTGTAGGAAATGATTCATTGATATGCATATGGTCGACACAATGATCTTATTAGCAACTCCATAAGACGATTGCTGACATGTTCAAATAAATTGTTCGGCAATTAACGGGTATTTACACATTTGGAATTGTGAACAAAACGTTCCTTCAATGGAACAGCGCGGGTGTGACTGATCGTCAGGGAGTGCCTACTCATCAATGTGACCTTGAACTCAACTGTGATGAATTTAGAGGTTCGTTTCTTCATTGCTCTTAAGGACAGATGATACAAACAAAAAATTGATGCCTGGAATGGTATATATTTTTTGGCCTAATTTCATCGCAAATGATGCAAGTAAAAAATTTCTAGAATATAAAGAAATTGTAAACCTTCTGTGATGTTCAAAAGTCTGCCCTTCTGAAAACATCCTTATTAATCTACACAAGTTTTTTTCACTTTAACTTTCATTTTTGTGCATATTTGAATAAAAAATTAAAAACTATGCAGTGGAAGGTACATGTATGCATTTTATTTTTTAAACATGGCCAATTAGAAGTTATTATTTTCAAATTCTTTGACAAAAGTTTGTGTGTATCATCTGTCCTCAAACATGTTAAATGGTTGGTTAATTTGAATTGTTTCAGTAGACTTTGAGATTATGATAACTGCTCCTTATCTAAGAATATCTTCTATTCAAATATGAGATTTATGTTTTGTTTGGTACATGCATTATAAAACATTTATATAGAAAATTTTTAATAGTATTTTGTGATATTTAGTAAAACAAAGAATATTGTTAATTGCATGAGGTCATTTATTTATTTTCTTTTTACATGCATAGTTCAGACCCATTTTTTAAAGGTATGCATATATTTTTTTTAGTTAACATCTGAACATTATGGTAATTAGCATTTCAATAATAGACTTAAGACAGGTTTTAAACATGAATACACTACACAACTAGACAGCTTTTATATTTTTGACGTAAAAATATATTTTTTTTTTCAAATCAAGTCAAACTCAAAGGTCAATGTCAAAATATGAAAAAGGTCTCAAGAAGTGTCCCAGTAAAATCATTCAGCTGAGTTCTAAAATATACTGATAATAATGATATTCAGTTAATGAAGGAAAAAAAACGCTGGGGGAAAATGATCAGATAGTGAACTTTGGATATGTATTGAAAATCATTTTCATTCATGGCCTAAAAATAATATGCAAATTTTACATTTTTTTTATACACACCACTACACAGTCATGATGAGAGGCAATAAGAATAACTGGACTGTTCGTTGTGTCCTCTCTGTTCCTGTCCTCACTGTACGTTTTTATTGATCGCAACCAGAACAGGAAGTAATCTTAAGAAGTAAAAAATGTCATTTTTAACGTTAACATTATACAATAACATTCAACTTATCAAAGTGTATGTAAAAATTACACAATTTCTGATCATATGCTAAAGTATGCAAAAATTAAATTTTGAATGTAATATAAAACAACAAATCATTAGGTCTAATCGCTCATCTACGCACACTGGCTAGAAAAAAAAGCACAAATCAGTTTATTACTGAAATGTGTCAAGCCAAAAGTACATGTAGTCCCAACCAATCCCTTAGGGGAGAGGGTATGATTTGCACAAACTTGAATCTACACTAACTAAGGATGCTTGCATATTTTCAAAGAGTTTTCTATATATTTCTATGTAAAACTTGGATTCCCTGTAGTGACCCTGCCCTTCCCCCATGGGTCATGATTTGAACAAACTTAAATCTACACTTTCTGAGATTGCCTCCACATAAATATGACTAACAATGACTTTGCAATTCTTGAAAAGAAGATATTTAAAGAATTTGTCTACATATTTCTATGCTGAACTTGGATTTTCTGTTGTGGCCCAACCCTACCCCTAGGGGTCATGAAGTGAACAAACTTAAATCTACACTACCTGAGGATGCTTCCATATAAATATGACTAAACTTGGCTTTGCAATTCTTGAAAAGACTTTTTTTTTATTTTCTATAATTTTCTACGTGAAACTTAAAACAGCAATTATGGCACTTCCCTACCCCTGAGGGTCATGATTTGAAAAACCTGAATCTACACTACCTGAATATGCTTCCGCATATATAAATATGATCAATCATGCGTTTGCTACTCTTGAGAAGATTTTTAAAGACTTTCCCTATATATTTCTTTGTAAATCTTTGACTTAACATTGTGGCCCCGCCCTGCCCCGGGGGTCATGATTTTAACAAACTAGAATCTACACTACCTGAGGATGCTTCCCTATGAGTGTCATCTTTTCTGGAACATTGGTTCTTGAGAAGAAGATTTTTAAAATATGCCATCAAGTTTTCATTGTTTTTTAATTGTCTCCCCTTGAATAAGGGTGTGGCCCTTCATTTGGACGAACTTGAATTCTCTTCACCCAAGGATACTTTGTGCCAAGTTTGGTTGAAATTGTGTGGTTTAAAGGAAGAAGAAAGTTTGAAAAGTTTACAGACAGCTACACAGATAGTCGCCAAACAAAATGTAATCAGAAAAGTTCACGTGAGCTTTCAGCTCAGGTGAGCTAAAAAGGATGAAAATACGAATAAGTATTTCTTTTATAATATATATATATATTTTTCAAAAAATTAAGATATAAAAGTTAATGTAATGTCCTTAAAATTATCAAGAAAGTTAAAGATGATGAAGGATATATACAGAACGACAAAATGACAAGTAGCCTGATTATAGAAAAACACACGGATCCTAGACCTTCAATCTTATGGCAAAAAGATATACATAGGGACAAGAAAATAGTTCTATTAAAATACATGTTGAAAGAAGACTAAATGTCATTATAACAGGTAATTTGACCAATATGTTAAAGAGTGAATACATATTTTCTCTTGAATTTTTGCGATTTTATTAGATTTAAAACAAATGAATTTCTAGTTAGATTTTCTATGATAAATGCATTGCATAATTTAAGCATAGCTTAATTAAACTTATTCAAAGATCCCATAATTTAGACAAAATGCCGGGTGAGGTTTTAGCCCATTATTTACACACTAAATTGGCTACAGATGTTTTTGTCGTTTTTAAGATTATAACATGGAGCTAAGGACGATTATGAGCCGTCTTTAGGGAATGCTCACTCCTCCATGGCAACTGATTCCACCTCTGATGATAAAGAGCCCCCTGTTCGTTTTGTTCCGAATTTATAACGTTTCTGTCTATGTATTTCATAAACAAATTTGAGCAGAGCAAATGGTTTTTGGTCTGAACTTCGAAAAGAAATTACCACCTTTGTATGCCCAGCCGTGAAATAAAGATTCATTTGGGTTGTATCCATCAGTGTCTTGTGTGTGAACTACTTCATCCAGTCCCTTAGACATGTCCATAACAACCAAATAAAACGGTCTTCTTGAGAGATAAATCTGATGACAGGCGTAATACGCTACTTGTCCGGCGAAATCCGTCATACTTATGACCTGTTTGTCTTGATTTTCAGTTACATCAATTTCATCTTCCGTGTTTTGCTTTTCCGAATTGAAGTCTGATTAAAAATAACTAAGAATTATATACTTCAGAGAAATAAATTCCAAGAAAAGATACTACTTATTTTTTTCAATGCAAAATCAAATCAAATTAGAATTAATTTATTTATAATAAATACTATTTTTCACTGTACCTGAGTAGAATAAAACAGTATAAAGATAATTTACATAACGAGGAAATAAATTACCTTTTAAGGTGTCATCTTTTACTTCAAACAAATCTTCATGGATTTCAAGACCTATGGTTGTCTTAGTTGAACTTTGGGAATCGCTTGTTTGTTTCCTCTGAAGCTGTCTAAGAAGAGTTGTTTTTCCTGCCCCTGCGCAGCCTACTATCATGCCCCTGGCTCGGCACATGTTCTTTCTGCCTTGCTTGGATATTTCGATGAATCTTTTCTTTGCAGTTAGGTCCCATGACAGTACCCCTGGGGGCATCTTTACTGAAAACGATCTTTCATACTTAATTTGAACATTTGCATAAATTACTCGTTATAAATATTCTTGATCACTTATCAGCCCGATTAAAGGATGTTTTTTATTGCCTTTAAGTATCAAAGCTTCAAATAACTTGTTTTCATTGTTATAAGTGGAAACGTTAATTTGAAAGTTTTTACGTCCGTTGCTTTATGTCTATCTGTCGTTATACCTGTCTGTAAATTCAAACCTGTCGACTCTATCGCTGAAAGTACAAAACAAAAGGCCCAAGGGCAACAACGCTCACCTGAGGGAGGGGAATATGATTTGAACAAACTCTAATCTAATTGAATTGAAGACTGATCTCGCAGATTTCTTTGACTATGGCATTTTCACCTTTCGATTTTGAACTAACGTTGTGTTCCCCCACCCCCTCCCACCCATCCCCGCCTCCCATCATCGTGACTTAAGCAGAAATATTTCTATACAATCTGAGGATGCTTCAAGGTAAATATGAAACTAATCGCAGCTTTCCTGTTCTTGAGAAGAATTTTAGATATCTTTCCTATATATTTCTTTGCAAAATTTTGATCGTCCCTTATGGCCCCGCCATACCCCCGGGGTCATGATTTGAACAAAAAATTGAATTAGCAATATCTGAGGATGCTTCCAGATGAATTTGAACATTCATGACTTCGCTCTTCTTGAGAAGAATTTTCCTATATATTTCTTTGTAAAACTTTGATCGGCCCTTGTGGCCCTTCCTATTTACGGCGTTTATAATTTGAACAAGTTTTAATTAACACTACCTTAGGATGTATGTACAAAAGTTTCTGGCAGAGTTGTTCATAAGAAGAAAATTTTTAAAACATGCCACTTATTTATTTCTAAATTATTTCCCCTTGAATAAGGACATGACCCTTCATTTGAACAATTGTGAATTTCTTTAAGACAAGGATGTTTTGGGGCAAGTATAGTGAAAATTGGCAAAATGGTTCTGGAGAAAAAGTAAAAATATGAAAAGTTTACAGACAGACCGACCTACAAACTTGTTTTAAGAGGCAACCTTTTGGTTGTCTGGAAACTGGCCTCTTAAAAAGGTGGCCACTTATTCCAGTTTGCCCTTGAAAAGGACATTCGGTCAATAAATAAACAACATTAAGACTACAGTTAAATTAATTAATCATAATTAAACAGGTCAATTTCACAAAAGCTTGTTATGTGTATATATAATAAGTCAAGCTCATTTTAAAAGAATATCAAATAATTCAAATTATTACCTAACCTACTATATAAAATATAATTAGGCATTTTGAACTGTTGCACGATTCATTTTATGTTTTTGCGTGATCATGAAACAGTCAAACTGTTGACCGGGCCACAGAATGAACTGTTGCCTGTTAAACGCGTCAATGTGATATTCAAGCGTTTTGATTACCATGACGTCACTATTTACCTGCTATATAATTAACTAAATTGGAATAACACACACAAAAAATCAATCTATTAAGTATTAATTTGAATAATTAAATATTAATTTAATCTTTACATTCTGTGTACAGCTAATTAATGGACTGGTATGTGGATAAACAGTTGTTAAAACTCTTTATCGATTGTTTGTGTGTTTTTATTCCAATTTAGTTAATTATATAGTAGGTTAGGTTATAAAACACTTTTTTAATGACTACTCGGTGAAATAGTCAAACTGTTATCCGTCGGTAGTGGAAAAGACCTGGTAAACTGTTGCCCTCGGCCTTCGGCAAAAGTTTCACAGGTCTTCCCCACAACCTCGGGACAACAGTTTGACTGTTTACCTCTTAGTCATGAAATAAGTGTATAATGTACCGGAGTATTAGGTTTTGTGCATGTTCTGTTCCTACATATTAGTTAAATATCAGTGTACTTTTGTTACATTGAAATATGAAATATATTTTTTTTAATTTTCATTTGAAGAAATACATACAATGCCTGACTATTATCTTTTTTCATCAAGGAAAAAAAATACAGAAAAATACAGTTTAATGGTAAATAAGATAAAGCAAAGATATTTATGCAAGAATATGTCAATAAAAATTTCAATCACATATTTTAAAAAGATAGTCAGCAGTGTAAACCCCCCCCCCACCCCCACTTAATTAATCGGTAATTAACTTACCTGCTGACGTTTTTAAAGTCTGGTTCATTTTATTTTTATAAAGATGTCAGAATTTTTATGTAACATACACAGACACACAAATAAATTTAACCTGTTGACCAGAGAGATGTATATACGCAGTTGAAAATCATTCCATAACACAGGTGTCACGTGTAGTAGAGCGTAACTAATCCCTATCGATCGTCTCTTGATAGTGAAATTCACGAGATAATCATGCCATATGAAGCACTTTATTTTTACAAAAGTAGAAATTAAGGCTTCTACATGTAATCAAAATCTTATAAAAGGTGTGAATTTCTTTAGCTAGAGGAAAGTATCAATTGTAATTAAATTTTTTATTTTTTCAATTGACAATCTTGGAAAAATAATTACAAATTCATCTAATGGGACCATTTTTTTTCATAAACACAAACAGAGTTCAGCGTATCTAAAAGCAATTTGTTTAATTGCATTAAAAGGTTAAATTGACTATCGAGGATATAATTACCCAAGCTAACGCGTGATAGAATCGCAACAAGTGACCAAGTGGTCGCCTAGTACTGTGTCAATTAATAAGGCTGTTGGGGGAGGATTTGAGTGGCCGCTGGCCGCGACGCACAGTAGGACAGACGGGCTACTGATGTATATATATTATAATAATATGTATTGATCTCTATGTTGTTAAATAACAACCAAAGAGATGTTAATAAACTGGTAAACTGGTAAACTGGATAAAATATGATTAGAAAAGCTCACTCGAACTTTCAACTCAGGTGAGCTTAAATTGGAATGAAATTTCATATATGTACCCATCAGATTCAGAAAGACCCAATTGATTTCAATCTCTCAAGTCAAGATTAAGGAAAACAAGACACAAAAGGGCCTTAACTGTCGCCCGAGTATAATTCATGGAATTATAAAAAAAAAAAACAAACAAAAAAAACTTACATGTGGCAGTTGTTCCAGAAAAACTCGAATTTTTTTAATAATCCAAATACTATTTAACCAAGGCTAATAATTATTTGCAGCCTGTTGGAATATCATCTTTTATATATTTTGACAAAATAAAATTTGCTTGTGATGACACATATGCTTAAAAAAAGCATTCAAAGGAAGTTAAAAATCGCACGACAACATGTTTTTTTTTACTTTTTTTAAAATAGCAATGTCAATTCAGGTTTCTTTGTTATCAGGCTATACGGCAAAATAATGTTACAAAATTTACTTTCATAGACACTCAGTTGCACATATGGTGAAAAACATTGTATAGATAGATTTATAGGTACATGAAATTATCAAAAAAGATAATAACTTATGCATACATTAAATTACATCATTAAAAAGTTTAATCATTTATAACTGACTTTTCCGATGTTGTGTTTAAGGACAGGTAACTCAGGTGTGAAAAATGACCAACTTAGTGCCGATTTTTGAGTTATCGTTTATAGGAATGACATATAGGCTGCTTCAGCACTGGTATCGTTATGTACACAAAAGGGTTCCTTACATTGTTTTGTACACAAAAGTGTTGACCATGAGAAAGAGAATGCCTTCACTCTACTTGAAATAACAGGGTCAAATAGATGGGGAACAGACTATATTCAATATTTTTAATTCTCTTTGACGATTATTATGAAGAAGAAAATTTCTTGCCATGTTTTTTGTTTTCGCGTTTTTTCTCTTCCTATGTAAATATTAGGGATGGCAATTTGTGACCGGTTAATCGATTAATCGGTCGGAACGATGCTAATCGGTTAGCAAATCCGTAATCGGTTGTTTTTGCGTTTTTTCTCTTCCTATGTAAATATTAGGGATGGCAATTTGTGACCGGTTAATCGATTAATCGGTCGGAACGATGCTAATCGGTTAGCAAATCCGTAATCGGTTAGTCGGAAAAAAATAAAATATATGTAAATTTGAGCGCAGTTTCCTTAAATTCCCTTCTGTATTTTTTTTTAGAAAGGAAAGCGCTGCAGAGATTTTTATTTAATGTTTTTACAAATCTTATAATTAAGAATTGAGATCGCAGGGTAATTGGTCTATTTGTAAGTGTTAATTACTGTTTTCATAACATCATGCCGTTACCCAGATAGTCCTGTGGTTTTTTTAATGATATTAAAAACATCACCGTTAAGCACTTTTAATTATTGTATGTCTATATTTTGCCTTTATCCATTAAATTATATTATTATAAAGAACGTTGTAAATTGTAAATAAAGTGAGAGTTCAGACACAGACTAGTTCTGAGTATGGTGCAATGCGGAATTAATTTCTTTAACATCTGCATTGAAAAATTATCCCTGTCTGATTTCTGAAGCAAGAATTATGGTTTTCTTATTTTTTTTTTCTTGTCTATTGAAATTAAATGAAATATACTCTTAGGCATAAAATTCCCTGATCAAAAAAATAAACAGAATGTAACTTCTAACATCGTTTAAGCCTTTATGTGTACATAAAAAGAAAATGTCAAAATGTGTATCTTGATGCGACTAACCGGTTAATCGGTCGGAACGTCTTGCGGTTAACCGATTAGCAATTCTGCAATCGATTGCCATCCCTAGTAAATATATATATTTTTACAAGTAAATGCAGCAATTGATCATCTTACTTGTGTTACTAAGCACGAAGGGGAACGACCGAGTATAAAAATTTAATTAGGTTAGAACAAAGAAGGAGGGTAGATCTGACTTTTTATTTTAATTAAAACTTTTAATTATATGAAGTGAAATGGTGTCCGCAACTATACAGTAAATAAGTTTAACATTGGTTAAAACCACTGGATTCTACTGAGAGCAAAGAAACACTTGGGAAATGCTAAAAACTGCCTTGTGTGTCAACAGTTAGATATCCCCAGCCTGCTCTCAACATCTTTCAACAGTGAGTTATCGTTCATAAAACCGACCCCTAGCGGCAGTTGAAAGGCCTAGTTAGGAGAAGAACAATTTTATGTACATTGTAACAAACTTTGTTGGTGCTAATATTTCGAATTCAAAACTTTCAAATGCTAGTAACTTAAAATTATAAAAAATGTACGTACAACGCTTAATGATCCGAACATAAATATTCCTGTCCGACATCGTCCGGTGCGTGATGATGTCCAGCTGTAGTTTGTCAATGAAGAGATCGAACATCTTAACCGGTCTGTCTGGTACATATAGACATCTTTCTCCGGCACTCCTCTTATAATGCCAGGACCGGCAGTATTCTGAGATCACGTCACGTGAAGCCGTGGTCAGGAAAAACTCCAAATCATCGCCCTCCACCAAACACTCCGTAACAAAGGCGTACATGACGTCATTTTTAATGTCATCCGAAATAAATGTGTTGCTGCTCCCTCGTTTATTAGTTACTCCTTCAGGAATATTTGACATGTCTATTTCACCATATGTAGGTAAATCTTTGAAATATTTTCCCCTGAGTTTATTCAATATTTCTCTATGGGACTGTTTATTGGCATCAAGAGTATACTGTTCCACCAACAGAAGACCATACAGGAGACATCTTACATCAGGACTGTACTGGTGATACTGATCTGAAGTTGTACATGTTCAGTTGACAAAATAAATATATTGTATGTAATGAACTGAGTATCAATTGGTTTTGCGATTGCATACGGTCATATGTACGTGTTGATTAAACAAGTTTTTAAGACACAACAATGATTCATAAAATACATTCAAGCAAAGAAAAAAGAATAAATCTTTACAACATTAACTAAAAGTAATATGTAAATATGTATTCATACACCATTTTTTAACCCGTGCTACAAGTACGAAAGCCGTCCAAAAATTACTCGGACTAGTTGCATAGAAAAAATATTTGACGACATATTCGGAGAAAATGTCACACATAATATAAAAGAAACTTTACTTATATGGTCTTCAAAATTTCATATCAAATTGTTATAAATTGATATATATTTCGGGTGATTTATCAGGACATATCTTCGTTCATATCAGATCGTGGAATAGTAAAATCTTCGTCGTCACGGACATTTTAAAATAAAGTATGCGCTTTCATTTTCTCCACATTTGCAACCTAAAAAAACGGTATTTATGAGAAATAGTGTGACACTGGTCAATCTCGATCATGTATTTATATTTTAAATTTGTGAAATGAACAATTGTGTATACATTTTAATTGTAAAGGTTCTAAAGATGCACTGAAAGCGCCAAAGCTTCACGGAAAGTGGGTCAGAGTAGAATAAGTATTCTTAAGAAAAAGTATTTTTACTGCATGATCAATAAACAAGAATCTTTATAATGAGGAGGCTAGATAAATTCATAATTTTGAAAAAGGAACTGTGCTTTGTTACAACGCTAAATGTATTAAACCTGGATTATTACATATTGCGTCGAGACCAACGCAAAATTTAATAATGCAAAATAAAATACATTTGTAATTCAGAAATCGTGTTCTTACATTTTGCGTTGATTGATCTCGCCGCAAAATGTAATAAAGTGAAATGTAATAATCCTCAAAAGAGTGTTGTTACAATTTGCGTTATTACATTCTGCGTTGATTTCAACGCAGATTGAAATAAAGCAAAATGTAATAATCCAGGCTTATTACATATCGAGTCGTTATTACATCTTGCATTGTCACAGTGGTTATTATAACCACCCACTTATCACCTATAATCTAAAGGTATAGATTTTTGAGTAGTTCATACAACTTTACAATTCAATCAAAAGAGTCTCACAGCCCTTTTCCTATGTGCTACGAAATTAATAAATTTGAATGAAGCACCCATGTTCATTAAACCATATTCTGAGTTAATTTCAGAGTTCATACATTTTCACTACATGACAAATAGAGTCCAACCCTAACACCTGAAAGTTTTGCCCAGGGGCCAAGAATTTCATAGTTTTTGTGGAACACATTCCTCAACATAAATATGCACTCATTATTTGCGTATTTATTAAGGTGGCAGGGGATCGCTTTATTTAAAGTTGAATATGTACTGAGGGGGTACACATATACATGCGATCCACAAATGGAATCATAATTTTTCTATGATAGAATATATTTGGTGAAAGGCTAGCTGCAGATATGTAGCTCGCTAGTTGGTCTGAAAAAAATTTGGATGGATCACCAGAAGTCTACAGTGCCACCCATATTTTCGAAAAACAAATTACGCTAGGTTCTCGATTAATTTCTGCGAATTCTTACCTCAACTGCACAAAGGATGAATTTCAAAATGTTTCAGTCTTCTTTCAAGTACTACTACTCAAATGGAAAAATGATAGGAAAATATTTTCAATATCTCAATGTCAGACTCAGAAACACCATTAAAAACGGTTGTAAGGAATGTTTTATTGTAGAAAAATTGAAGGAATGTGCTCGAGACACACGGTATTTAATATTTTTAGATTTCAGCCGTTGAAAATCACGGATATTGAATATAGCTTTAGTGCAATTTTTAAAGCAAAGTTAATATTCATTTTTTGTTTTCAATGGGTGGTACTGTATCTCTCTTGCCTGACAATATAGCTCAATTTCTGCAGCAAGTGAAAGGCTGGACATTTATACGCGTACAAAACGCGTGGTACTGACAGCCTTTGAGCATACGCAAAATACGGAGGAAATGAACAATATTTCAGGTAAAAAGACAATTCAAACAATATAAATCACTAGCAGCGAAAAGACAGACTTTTTTTAATCAGAGGTGGAATCAGGCGACATTAATCCTCTTTTATGCCACCACCTACCCCTTAACGAGACAGTTGTGTATATGCTCTCATCGAAAGGACCGGTCTCCGCGTCTTGAACCCCCAACGTACTTATAATGCATGTATTTGAATAATATGTATTTATAAGTCTTTAAAAAGTCTCATGAAGGACACTTTATTCATATTCTTATATTTTCTAAATAAGGTCTTCCGTCTCCAACGGAAGACCTTATTGTTTTCGTTCGTTTTTTGCGTGGACCCTGAGGTCCACGCAGTAAATATATAAGTGAGGTCAAACCGGATGCATAGGCAAACGACAGGCTACGCATGCGCGATAATGCTAAAGAGTTCGCACCTTAGGTAACTTGTCTGTAGAATAATTCGCCCTATTCGAATTAAAATATGCCATTCATTGGCAAATCGCGCTTCTGAATCTGCATATTGCATATACATTTTCATTGCAAGATCCGATTTTCTCTCTTTTAAATACATTTTTATATACAAACCAAACATTGATTCTATGGTACAAGCATTTTAAGAAGTTACAGTATATAGATACAACTAACTTAACAACTTGAATGAAAAATGTCACTCAACGACAAGTTCTAGCTTTTAAAAGATAGAACATGTTTTCACCGGCATTAGTTTTGTGCATCAAGGCTCGCAAAATAATTTAATATTCCAGCAATCTTAATATCGTTTGATAAAGGTCTGTAGCAACGGCTTTTAATGTGTGTGTTTGGGGGGTGGGGGTGGGAGCTCCGACAAAAAAATCTGCGTGCAACAGAGCTGTGCTTCTTCTGAACCATCAGATCTTTATTTTTCCCATGATAGATTTCTTCCGTATAAATCCAGATCAGGTGTCAAGTCAAGCCATTACGGGTTACATGTATCAAAATAGCCCGATTTTTAAAACTGACAAAGCTAAAGGCCGCTAATCGGAGATAAAATTTAAACAATTTTGCTTTGAGACTATAATCAGTCAAAAGTAGGCAGATCATTGTAGAAAATGTAAATAAACCTACATGAATATTCTCTACACCTAGAAATTTTCTTTATTGAATTTCAGTTAGAAAAAACATGCATATGGTCCACGTATTGCAGTCCTTTTTTAAAGGACAGCAACTTGTCCCTATTATTATTCTTAAGGTCTTTCGTCTTCAGCGGAAGACCATACTGTTATTCTTATTCTCTGACATATTTTGTGCACGGAAGTTCTCGGAAACGGCTTGATGGATTTTCATGAAACTTTCAGGTCTGATAGAACATCAAAAAGTCTAGATATGTAATTTTCTTAGGTCACCTGAGTAAACTCAGGTGACCTATTGCCATCTGTTTTCGTCCGTCGTCGTGCGTCTTCGTCGTGCGTCGTGTGCTAACATTTGAACATTTTCAGCTTCTTCTCTGCAATCACTGAACAAATTTCAACCAAATTTGGCACAAAGCATTTATGGGTGAAGGGAAACAAAAATTGTGAATTTCATGATCCCTGCCCCCCTGGGGCCTGGGGGGTGGGGCCAAAACCACTAAAATTAATGCAATCTTTAAAAATCTTCTTCTTTACTCCTGGACATCAAGCAGTCAAACTGTTTGCATGATTGTAATCAGCTTTGAGTCCTTTACCACAATTGTGAAATTCATGGCCCTGGGGTCAGGGGTACATGTGCTAGGGTGGGGCTAAATAAGTATATAGTGAAAATGCATTATTTCTTTGAAAATCTTCTTCTCTGCTCCTGGGTATTAAATAAACTAACTAAGTACATAGTTAATGTATAGTGAAAAAAACATTAAATCTTTGAATATTTTCTTCTTTGCACCTATGATTTAAGCAGATGAACTACTTATATAGTTATGAGCAAGGGCCGTTATCTTCAAGAATTGTAAATTTCAAGGCCCCATGGTCAGTTGTACCATAGAGGGGGTTGGGGTGGGGTTGTACTTATATACTGAAAATGAATGAATTGTTTGAAATGTGCTCCTTGGTATTAATCAAATATTTTTGATAAGCATGAATGCCTTTCCATAAATTGTACAATGTGTGGATCTAGGCCTAAGAGACAAGGGTTCATGTGTGGTAGCGGCACTACTCATTATTGCTGAATATTACTGATTTGTTGAAATGCATTTTTTGTTCCCCTACCCTGCGTATGGGTATTAAGTAACCAAACTAAGGAACTGCTAAGTGTATAGTTATGATGACCAAATTGTTAATGCTATAGCATCTGGATTAAAACATGGATCAAATTCAATCACTGGAAAGTTGTTGCATAATGCTCAGGTGACCTATAAGGCCCATGAGCCTCTTGTTATTTTGATGACGTCAATTCCGGTTCGGAGATTTCCGCGATTTTGTCATTTTTAAAGGGTCACTTTGTGAGTAAACTCAGATGACCTATTGCTAGCCGTTGTTGTCGGTCGTCGTGCGCCGTGCGTTAACATTTGAACATTTTCAGCTTCTTCTCTGAAACCGCTCAACCAATTTCAACCAAGTTTGGCACAGGACATCTATCGGTAAAGGGGAACAAAAATGATAATTTCATGGTCCCTGCCCCCCTGGGGCCTGAGGGGTGGGCCAAAAGCACTAACTTTAAAAATCTTCTTCTATGCTCCTGGACATCAATCAGTCAAACTGTTGGTATGATTGTAATCAGAATTTGGTCCTCTACCAAAATTGTGAAATACATGGTCACAGGGTCAGGGGTGCTACATGTAGTGCTAGGTCGGGGCTAAATAGATTGTATAGTGAAAATGCATTATTACTTTGAAAATCTTCTTCTCTGCTCCTGGGCATGAAAGAAACTAACCAAGTACATCGTTATGTTGAATAAGATTGCCTCCTCCAAAATTGTGAATTTTATGG